GGCTGAAAGGGACTGGAACTCGGGTCCCTAGGCTGATCCTGGGCGCACCCAAGGCAGAGAGCGGGGGAGCCCATGCCCCTCCAGATGTTTGTCATGGGCCCTGCTGGTGAGGGTGTGGCAGGCCCCTGCGCCTCTGGAGGGCACCCATTTGGGAAGGTGCAAACTCGGGTCCCTAGGCTGATCCTGGGCGCACCCAAGGCAGAGAGCGGGGGAGCCCATGCCCCTCCAGATGTTTGTCATGGGCCCTGCTGGTGAGGGTGTGGCAGGCCCCTGCGCCTCTGGAGGGCACCCATTTGGGAAGGTGCATACTTGGGGTGGGGAGGGGGAGGCTGTTCCTTGGAGGAGAAAGGCTCATCCTAAATTGAGACGGTTCTGCTTGCTTCCAAGTTGTCTCCTCTGGTCTGGGGCCCAAGGGAGAAGAATTCTGTGCCCGCCTGTCTCTCCTTTTGGAAGAGGCCGAGTGACCTCCTTTGTATAGTTATTATTTACCAAATATGTTTCGATTTTCTCGTGAGAAATCTCCAAGAGATTTGTGACCGCATATTGGAATGCGGCAGCAGGAAAAGATGGAGGAAAAGCTAAGGAAGAGGCGTTTTGGGGAAGGGAAGAGACCTAGGTGAAAAGCTGGTTTTTTTCCCCACATGGACTTAAAAGATGCAGATATGGGAGGGGAGGGAAGGGAAGGGAAGAAGAGCACTCCAGGATCTGTCTGAGGAACTGCAAGCGGTGCTCTGCAATTCTTGGTGGTTGAAGAATGGGACTCCATAATCATCCTGATGGGTAGTGAAGAAAGGCATCTCCTGGACTCCCCTGGCCCAGAATTCTCATCAGTGGTGGTCTGGTTGGGGGATCTGAGGAGTTTGTTTGCCCATCAAAGTATTGGGAGAAGTTTTTCTTCCTCTTTGGAAGACTAGTGCTAGGGTCATCCCGTGAAGCTGGTTGGAAGGGGATTGAGAACAGCAGTGCAAGATCTTCACACAGCACATTGTGGACCTGTGGAATTCATTACATGATACAGTGATGGCCACGCATTTGGGCTTAGAAGGAGATTGGACAAGTCAGAAAACTTGGAGGACAGGTCTATCAAGGGCAATTTGTCTAGAAGGCTTCATGTTATCTCTGGGTTGGGGGCATCCTGCCTCCAAATACCAGCAGCAAGGGAGCATCGGTGGGAGAGGGGTAATTTTCTGTATCAAAGTTGCAGGCATCTCAGATGCATAAGGTTGGCCACGGGGAGGGTGTGTGTGCGGGGGGAAGCTGGATTAAGATGAGCTTTGGCCTGACCCAACAGGCAGTTCTCATGTTCTTGTCTGGAGGGCACCCAGGCTGGGGATGATTGACCTGGCTGCTCTCTATTGGGTGGAAGGGTCTGATCTTTTTAACTAGTAGTGTGGGGATAGATGGTTGAGCTTGGAATTTTTTGGAAGCCAAAGTGTATCTTCAGCCATGGATGCCAGATGGTGTAGACAGCCATGGGGAAGGCCCTGAGAGAGATATTCAGAAACTTTTGTAAACAAAGAGGACAGAAGCATTCCTTAAGTCTTGGGAAGGGAGATAGTATTAGGAAGAGACTTGGGCTGACCTTCCCTGACTTATGTAAGGGATGTTAGAGGGAGGGGAGGAGAAGGACAATCAGGCTAGCAAGAAAGACTCTGTTATTATAGCCAATCTAAACAAAATATAGTTCAAGTCTTCTTGTAGGGTTGGCTTCCTGGTCTAGTGTACCTAATAGGACTCTCAGATAGAGATGGGACTGTTAAACTCCAAGGTAGATTGTAAATTCATGGACAGGGAGGTTATCAAAAGCAGGGATGAGCAGTATTGGAGTAGTTAGGAGCTCCATTTAATTTTTTGAGGATGGTGAAGGCTGCGGTGGTGCAGAATGGGCAAGGCTGGTGGGAGGGTTTTCCTTGTTTTCTGAACTGTGCTAATTGAACTGGTTTTTGTGAGTCTTTCACCTCAAAGCAAGGGAAAATAGAGCCCCTGGTTTCTTGCAATGCTAGTCCTCAACCTTGGCTGTCCCTCCCTATCATGGGTCTAAGTAGCTGACAGAAGATGTCGCACTTTTTAACAACCCTCTTGCCAAATGGGTTGGTATTGGTAGGAGTGCCTTGCAGATGGGAGAAGCTTACCATGGGGTGAACCCAGAATACAAGTAAGATTCAGGTGGGATCCTGACAGTGTGGGGGTTCTGTTACCTTAAGTTCATAATTCAACATTGCTTTGCCAAGCATTTAAAGGAGCAGCCAGTAAGATCTAGGTTAGTTTCCTTCCGTCTGGTCCCTTTCAGATGGATATCTGGACCTCACGTCCCATGAGTTTGCTGCTGTGTGGGCTGGCTTTTATTATCTGAAAGGGCAGGGAGCAGGCTGAGTACCCCACTCCTGCTTTGAGGAACAGACGTGTTGACCAGTCTTTTCCCAACTCCATTGTTGGTCCACTGAAATCAAACGAGCGTTTCCTTTCCTTGTGTCCCACGTGTCTTGTTTTTGGTCTTAGGAAGAGAGAGCACTGCGGGATCGGAATTTTCCCCAAGCTCAAGACGAAGACCGCCCAATTGCCTGGAAAGTGCAGTTCAGCTTGGGAAACAGCAGCCAGCCGAATAACCAGTGTCGAAACTCTGTCCAAGGAAAACTGCTGATCACGGATGAGTTGGGTAAGGTTCTGTTCCAAGCCCAGGGTGGTCTGGTGCTGAGAGTGTTGGATTAGGAGAGCCAGGTTTAGATCCCTGCTTAACAGTTGAGTTGGTTGAGTGATGTGTTGGCTTCCTCAACCCAGTTTTCCTCATTGGATGTAGGCAAGAACTGGGCACTTCTTGAGCTCCCTGGAAAAATTGTGGGATGCATTATGGACAAAGGAAGTTCTTACAAGCAGTCAGGTGTGTGGCTTAATTTCTGTGCCTGCTTTGGGGCACTTTTGAAGTCCAAGAATAGAATTGGGGACATTCCAGATGTTTTTGGACTTTGTATTCTGTCAGCTCCAGCAAGCATGGCCAGAGATTGAAGAAGAGGACAGCAATGGATCTTATTTAGTAAAGAGGCATGGATTGGAGGGAGGTGCCTATGGCTTCACTTGTTCTAGATCCTGGCCAACAACATGTTTGCAAAGCAGAGCAAGATCCCGACATGGAAGATGCGATTATCACAATACGATGAGGTCATCCTTTATTGAAACGGTTGTCTAAAATTTTACATAGATACATATATGTATGAGAAGCTCTTATATGTATAGTTTTTGTGGTGGCCCTCCTTTCTTTGTTCCCCATTTCTTTTTTTCCTTGTTTTTTTAAAATTAAATAAAGCTCCTCTCCCCAAATTGAAAATGTACAACAGCCAATAAAAATGAGTACTACTCGGAGCTTATGCAAAGACTCAAATAACTGACTCCTTTGGAACCCGTAAAAGCTGCTTCCAGGTTGGGTACAGTCAGTTTCTAGGCCAGTGTTCTGGCTTCTATGCTGTGGCACAGAGTCCTCCATTCTCCTTCTGCTCAGCTTCTAGAGGTCTTTTGTGGCAGGCTACATCTGCGAAAGGAAGGACCTGCTGGTGAATGGGTGTTGCAACGTGGAGGCGCCCAGTGTCAAGTTGTACAGTTGTGATAGTTGCCTGCCTAGTGGATGTTGCAGCATCTATGAGGCCTGTGTGTCCTGCTGCTTACAGCCCAACAAGGTAAGCTGATGTAATGGTCTGTGGGAATGACCTTGGGAGACAGGGGGAAGAGCTGCAGACTAGGCAACAGTCAGATAAATGGCAGCTGAGCCTGCAGAATGAATGGGGACATGGCAAACATCTCAGAAGGGACCCTCCCTAGTTTCTTGAGCTGTAAAGGTGACGGGAGAGATGCACTTTCAGACTTCTCTTAATATAATCTTACAATAAAGTAGAATTAGTTCATCTGGGCATGCTTCCTGTCTGGACTACCTCGCAAGGCTGACATCCAGATTCAGCCTTCACTGTATGGAATGGCTGAGAGCATCTGCAAAATGCTGCCACCTATCTTCAGCAGCTCATTTTACAATTCCAGATTCGGGGCTGGTGCCTTCTTGTTTTTTTCTTTGGAATAATATTAATAATTTATTGGATTTGTATGTCGCCTGACTCTCAGTGATTCTGGGCGGCTCACAACCATCAAAGAGATTACAATAAAATCAATAAAAGATGAAAGATGGCAATTGTGGAGAGAGGGAAGGGGTAGGTAATGGTCTGTGGGCATGACCCTGGGGAGACAGAAGGAAGAGCCGCAGATGGGGCAACCATCATGTAAAAGGTATCTCAGTCCACAGAAGGTGGGAGGGCATGAAAAGCAGTTCAGAAGCGACCCTCTCTAGTTTTCCAGAGAGTAAAAGGAGAGGAGGGGAGAAATACTTTCAGACTTGCAAGATTCTTAACCTTGCAATAAAGGTAGTGTTAGTACTCATGGTTTGTGCTTCTTGTCTGGGCTCCCTCCCTCCCTCCCGTTTTTTCCCTTCTTGTTTTTCCAGCAACAGCTCCTTGAACATTTTCTCAACCGAGCGGCGATGGCCTTCCGGAATCTCTTCATGGCCGTGGAAGATCACTTTGAGCTCTGCCTGGCCAAGTGCAGGACCTCATCCCAGGTGAGGGGACAGAAATGGAGTGTCTGAGCAGGAGATGATTGGGTAAGAGAGGCATGGGTCCAAGTCCTACAGCTTGACTCAACTCAGTGAATGCTGAGGGGATGTCTGTGGGGCTGAGCATTTAAGAACAGGTGTGGAAGAGCCCTTGCGTGTGGCAAAAGGAGCATCATGTATCTCTACTGAGGAAGATTCTTTGGTGAGGGTTGCATCTGGGATGCTAGCAAAATAAGGAGTCAAAAAGGTGTCCTGTTGGTTATAAATCGCATTGTCTAAGGCCAGCTTCCCACTATGGCTGATTCAACTGTAATGGTATATAAATTTAATAAACAAATCAAATCAAATGGCTGTCATATTGTAGACTGCCCGAAACAGGTGGTAGGTATACGCGTATTGTATAAATAAATGAATGGCTAAAACTGGTGAAAAAGGACTTGAAAGGACTTCACGTTGAAGGCTGTGTACAAAGCAAGTAAGGAAGAAGGCAAGGAGATGTATATGTTGGCTGAATTTTCTTCAGGTCCAGATTTGGGATCCACCCAGTTAGAAGAACCAGTGAAGGTCTTCCTAGATTGTCCATTAAAACACCTGCTAAGAGCGTTCTCCAGCTGGAGGCTGTTCAGATGTTCTGGGGCACAACTCCTAGCATCCCCAGATGGCAGTTATTGGATGCATCAGCTTTGGGGAAGAGCTAACATTTTGTAGGCCTCCTCTGCCCTGTTTGCCCCAGGACTGCCATACCCAAGGGGGAGGTAAAGATGGGTATCTTAAAAAGAGGATTTTCTTGTTGAGAGGCACTGTAGGATATTAACTTGTTGCTTCCGCTGCACACAGTTTGGGTGGAAAGAGGTGAGAAAACATGAGAAGTTAGCAACTCAGTGTACTTGTCCATCTGCCCTTCTTTCTGGAACTTGATCCTCCTGACTAAAAAGTGCCAAGCACTGAAGTTGAGACTTTCTACTGGCAAACAATGTGTTCTACCAGTGAAGTGTGATTGCTTCTCAGAGTGGGCACTACCTTATACAGAATTAGCCATCTCTCAGCCTAATTTGATGATTCTCCACGGTTTCAAAGAAGACATAGTTCAACTCTTATCTGAAAAGGTTGAGGACTGAACCTGGGGGCTTCTCCATTCAAAGAAGATGCTCCACCACTGAGCTAAAGCCCTTCCCCTAAAAATAGGAACCTAAAAAGCTGCTTTAAACCAGGTCAGACCGTTGTTCTTGTCAGCCCCACTAGGTAGAACAGACCAGGAACTCAACTGCACAGGAAGACTAGAACTATATTTATTGAAATCTGCTATAATAACCGAACCTTGCAAGTCAAATGCCGCCCCCTCCTCCTCCCTCCCCCAGTTCAGTGAATTAGGGAGGCATCTGCCTGACCTACTTTTGAATATTAACTTGTTTCTCAGACCTGAAAAATGTTACAGCCCCCTTTGCCTAGGTAACAGTTCTTGCATACTTCCTTCAGTGTCACCTTCCTTATTCTCGACAGTTGCACCTTCTTGAACAATGTCAACACTGAGTGGCACTGAAGCCAAACATTCCTGCCTACAAGGACCAAGCAGTGGGACTTCACCTTCTCTGTAGCATTTCCTAGTGATCAGTTTCTTTGGCTGGGCTCTGACTTGCGTAAACATTTCTTCTCTGTCCTTCTCTCCTTTCCAGAGCGTGCAGCATGAAAACACCTACCGCAACCCCATTGCAAAATATTGCTATGGTGAATACCCCCCAGATCTTCTGTCTGTGTGAAAGTGCTCGAGAAACTGGCAAGGACGTCAGATGAGAGCTGCAGCGTGGCAGAGAGAGAACTTTGCAATCAACTGGCCTGGTTCCTTGGATTAAGAATGGTTTCATTCTGCAGCCTCCAACTCCAGCTTCTGGAAGAACTTCCCCTGCATTGTTAAACCTGTGGCCATGTCCCTTCGGTTGAAATGCAGAGCAAAATGGGTGGAAATCTTCTAATAGCTGGACTCCAAGGACTACCTCCAAGATCCAGGGTTTGCATCAAGGGCCCAGGTGAAATCTGGACACAGAAAGTGCCTAATCGGTATTGGTCATGTGGGACCACTTGCAGATCAAGGAAGCTATCAGAGAAGTGAAGAGTGCCAGATTCCTGGGAGTGGCCCCTACAGATCTGTGTCCTTGATAGAAACTGCTGTTTGTAAATATGGAAAAGTTATTGAGGCAAGGAGGAGACACTTGTATTAGACAAACAGGTATTGTGCATTCTGCACACTGTATGGACCTCGGCTCTCATCTACGGTAAACACAAGGAAGTGCCAACTGTGGATTCATTTTTCCAGCTTTCTGATTCAACTTGCCCTGTATGAGTGAGTGCCAGTCGCTTGCCAGTGCAGGATGGGCAAGCGGGAACATATGTTCCTGGCCTTTTCTAGCACTGACAGTGGAGACAAGAAGATTCTCAGCAAAAGGAGACACTGGAGCATCACAAGGAGAGATGACAATGGGTGATGCCTTGGGCAGGAGGCAAAGCATCATCATCTCTGTCCATGGAACAGGCCGATCCCTTTTAGAAATATTTTTTTGGGGTTTCCTTAGCAGCTTTGGATGTATTTGATTTGGAATTTGAACGTGGGCGTGATACTCAAGCAGTAAGTGAAGGTGGGGGAATGAACAACTCCTGTTAAGTCCATCTCATCTTGCTCTAGATGGGCTACTTGGCACCCTCAGACTCATGATGGAACCATTCGCTCAGGCAGCTGCAGCATGGAAAGATGCAGAATTTATCATCGTTTCCCACCAAAATTAATTTTCCACTATAGCACAGCAATCTAAATATGCTTGTACCTAAACTCCAATTGTTCTCCTCTTTTTCAGTTAAGGAAACGGTACTGCAAGGAAGGTCCTTTCTGGAAGGGAGGAAAGAGGTAAAATCTCTTAGCTCAGTGTTGTCCAAACTTGGCCACTTTAAGATGAGTGGACTTCAACTCCCAGAATTGAATTCTGGGAGTTGAAGTCCACTCATCTTAGTGGCCAAGTTTGGACAATACTGCCTTAGCTTGTTGCCCTTAGCTGAACCTTCGGCAGCCTGGTCTTTCCAGATGTGTTGAGGTGCAGCTCCCTCCATGACCAGCTTCTGGCATCTTTCATCTCAACATATTTGCAAGGCTTCAGCTTGGGAAATGCTAAGGAAGAGGATAGAAGGATATCTGCTAAGAATTGAGGAGAGAGGCACAATGTTCTTGAACAGAGTACCCCAGAATAGAGCTCTGGATTCATTAGGGAAGGCAAGGAGGCACAGATGGAGGTTTAGCATTCGGGGTCAACTGGTTGCCTTGATCTCTGACCTCCCTTTTCTTGGCCTTTTCAATCCCATCTGAGAAGAATGATTTTTAGTAACTGGATGACAGTAGGTGTGTTCTGCTCAGTTACTTCTGGACTTCCCAAGTTGATGTCCTCCCTGTTGGGTTACAGCTCTTGTCATTCCCAGTAAGTTATGGCCATAATGGCAACTGGTGACCACGTAGGCTGGGAAAGGCAGATGCAGATGGGAACAGATCACAAGAATCCCCCAGAAGCGCTGAAACTTGATTTTCACCCAGCAGAATTTCAGCCAGGAAACCTACTTTGTTTCAAGAAGCTGGCCGTGTCTTCTTACTTTTCTGCCTTTCTACGTGGGTTGAATATCGGAGAAATCAAATATCTATTTGTGGGTAATGGGTGCCTAGGGAAAAGAGCTTTTAGGCAGATTTATGGAAAGAGAAGACTATCAGTGGTGGTTAATCGTAACAGCACTCCGCCCTGGGGTGGGAAGGGGGATGTTTACTTGGCTTCTTGCTTCTCTGATGGTTGGTCACCATAAAAAGAAGGCACTGAACTGAACCTGGTGGACAGTAGAGCTCTTCTTAAACCAGTGTTGTCCAAACTTGGGCACTTTAAGATGAGTGGACTTCAACTCCCAGAATTCCCCTGGCTTTCTTGGGGAATCTTGGGGTTGTAGGCCCCTCCATTTAAAGGGCCCACAGTTTGGCAACAACTGTTTTAAAAAAGGGCTTCTG